AGGAGATCCACCACAGGATATGTCTTCATTTGTGGTGGAGGACCGATTAGTTGGAGAGCAGTGTTACAATCGGTTAGTGCTTTGTCTACTACAGAAGCGGAGTATATGGCGCTAAAGGAAGCTTCAAAGGAAGCAGTGTGGCTGAAGAGATTGGCAAAGGAATTCGGATTTGCCCAAGACTTGGTGGTGATACAAAGTGATAGTCAAAGTGCTATACACTTAGTGAAGAATCAAAAATTCCACGGAAGATCGAAACACATTGATGTTCGGTACCACTGGATAAGAGATTGGGTGAACGATGGAGACATCACGATAAGGAAGGTTCATACAAATGAGAACGCTTCAGATTGTCTAACGAAGCCAGTCACAACAGCAAAGTTCAAGCATTGTTTGAACTTGCTCAATCTTGTTACATGCTAAAGATTGAGGTGGAGTTCTTGAGAGTTATTGGGACGATTCTCAAGACATTACAGATGTCCTGGAAGGCAATGATGTCCACAAGGAGTTTTAGGCTCACCAAGGTGGAGATTGTTGGAAAACTTGGCTCGCATAAAGGATACTAAGTTTTGGACAAGCGATTGGTCGAAAGACATTTGCGACTGGTCTTTTCTACACAGAATCGAAGTCCGGAGCAAAGTCGACTAGAGACTGGTCGCCAGCTATTTACGACCGGTCGCAGGTAGCAAGCGACAGATCGCGCACTGGTCACAAGAAGGGAATTCGAAGTTTGGAGACTCTGTGCAAAAGTGACCGGTCGCTCAGTGCGTGCGACCGGTCGCCCAGAATGCTGTTTCGTTTTTTCCTCGAGTTTCCAACTCTGTTTTCAAGTGAAATCTCCCGGTTACTTTCCTGGCATTACCAAACGTGAGAAAGAAATCTTTCATTTCCCATTCCTTAGGAAATAACATGGGAAGTGATTTCCCCTCAAATCCGTTCCATGAACTAAATGGTGCCTTGGAGTAGAGGGGATGATAAGAGAGCTGATCCAGTATTTGGGCGTGGCAGAGAATATTTTTTGTCATAATAACATTTATTTGGGAACGCCTATTTATAATACAGTGCTGCATTCACTTGTTGAGGCTAAGGAAGTAGGGCCCCGTTCGTTTAAGTTTTGAGAGCCCATTTTCATTTTGAGAGAACAAAAACAAACAAAAAACCTATTCGATGGGCAAATATAGAAAGCACGGAGAACATTTTAAGAAAATAAGAACAACTTCGCGTCTACTTGTAGAAAACAAAAAAAAACTGTTTTCATTCTCTCAGGAAACAAACACTGAAAACACGCCGCTTCTCTCGCTCAATCTACTCTCCCCATCAGACAAAAACCACCGTAAAATGCTGCCAGCACAGAACCACACGCAGAGCTTGAACCACCACCATCACCCAATGGAAATCACCACCGCCCCATCGAACCAGATTGACATCGCTGCCACTCAATCGAACCCAATAGAATCTCTACACAATTGAATTGAACCACCATCGTTGAACAACTAATTGCCGAATCAATTTTTAGTCCAAGAAATGGAAAAGGAGCTAGGAAGCTACTGGAAGGTGAGGTTGCACTGAGAGAGAGAGAGACAGAGAGAGGGTGCGGCGGCATGAAGAGAAAGTGAACAAGAGGGGGGTTGGTCTGATTCTTCAATTTTGGAAAGAGAGAGAGAGAGAGAGAGAGAGAGAGAGAGAGAGAGAGAAGAGATAAAAATATGATTTAAAAAACCCTTTTTGAAAAATTTATGATTATGCCACTGAGCTCCTTTTGATCGTAACTTTTTCGTTACAACTCCGATTCGAACCCACTACGTGTCTACAGACTCATCTTGGCACGATCTACATAATAGTGTCATTCAACTCTCCAAAATCCTTCTGGATTAAAAAGTGATCAAAATACCCCTACCCCTGGAGGCAAAATTGTAATTTCAATATTAAGTAATTTAATTAAATTAATGAATAATTATATTTTGGGTCACAATGTTACAAATGAACAGGTTGGAAATGCTAAAATTGTCATGGCATCCACAAATTTTTCTCTTAAAGATGTCTTGAGATGTCCTAATGCTTCATCTAATGTGTTATCTGTTCACCGTTTCACTGTTGATAATCATTGTTATTTTCTAATTTATCCTACTTTTTTTTCTAATCAAGCACCACATTTTTGGATGAAATAAGAACTCTTACAAGAAGAGAATTTTTGGAGAATTTTTTTGTTTCATTTATGGAAAGTTCAGATGTTTATAAAGATATTTAAATGAAGACAATTAGTGAATTCATTTTTTAAAACGAAAAAGAAAACAAAAGGAAAGTTACATTTTTGTCTTCTCTGAAAATATAAGTAATTTAATTAAAGATGATGACTTTGAGGAAGGAAGGGGAGAGGGTGAGAGGCACAGAAGAGGTCTTGATGAGGGTGTTAAATACATAGTGCAACTAACTAATGTTAAATACCTAGTGTATTAGATTTGTATTAGGTGATGCTTGTATATTTAAAAGGTGACATCGTGCTGCAGTTCTCTAAACAAGATCAACTGCCCCTAGGGGGAGGGAGGAGGCATGTTTTGTTAATTTAACAGAAAAAGCACAAAAAAGCATTGATATTTTCTTTATGCTTTTATTCTTTCGCAAGTTTAGTTTGACCGCTATCTTCTGTTGTTATTGTACTTTTGTTATGGTTCAAATCAGTGATGCCGGTGCGGTATGAATCCGCAAGGGTGAGTTGCTCTCCTTTGGGGAGGGAAAGAAGGGTGCTACTGGCAAATTCTTTAAATATTCTCTTCCGATTCGCATCTAGGGGTTGACATGTAAAAGTTCACAATTTTTTTAGACAAAACTAAGCTCGTAAAAATAAAACGATATTTTTATCATTCACAATTTATGGAATAAACAACATTACAAATTATAGTTGTTCACGATGAATTTTTATATTTTTGCATGAAAACGATAATTGGATTAACAAGAAGAATGTTTACATCTCTCAATTTAAAACAACCAAACTATCACTCAATCATTAACCAAAATACTACCAAAAGATGAATAAAGATGGGAATTAACCTCATTCTTGGCAGATCAATCTGAATTTAATTCATAAATATCAGCCATCATGGCAAAATACAAACTGCTTTCACAACACGACACCAATTTCAAAACCCATAAGGAAATTTGGGAGTTACAATTACCTAAATTCATCATATGTATAACTGAGTGTCACTTGTATGACCAAAGCCAGGATGCCTAATCAGATTCTTCTTTTGATCACTGCATATCCATGAAAGAAAAATAAGAAACAAAACCGAATGTTATTATCATGTGAACATACCAACAACAAAAAAAGAACCAAGGGGTCATCATCTAAGACATACATACCACTTTGTTGGTGAGCTGCTGTTGCACAATCACAATACCCAATCTCCATGATCATCTGAAAAAGAAGAAAATGAACAAGCTGAGGTTGGTTGCCATTTGAATGAAAGTGTCAATGCAAAAGAAAGAAATTAGTTAGAAAAACGCACCAGAATATGAATAACTCTGGGATGTGAGCAATCTTGGACCAGTCCTCACCTGTTTCTTTCTGGCATCTTTGCTTTAAGATGGGGCAATCCTTAATTAACAAAAAATTTAATGAGGCGAGGCAACGAAGCCCTTCTGGGAGTGATGCCAAATTAGGGCAATCCTCTATCAAAAGAAACTTAAGTGTTTTGAGGTTGCCCATCCCTTCTGGTAGTGAGGCCAATTTTGGCCAATTCCGAATTTGCAGTTCCCTTAAGGAGATGAGGCATCGAAACCATTCTGGTAGTGATGCCAATTTAGGACAATTTGAAATCTCTAGTCTCTGTAAGGAGATGAGGCGACCCATCCCTTGATTTGGTAGTGATACCAAATTAGGGCAAGATAGAATTTTAAGCTCCTGAAGTAATGTGAGGTTTCCAATCCATTCTTCTGGCACATATTCTATATCCTCAACGCTAAAAATAATCAGAGATTTTAATTTGGAAAGAACAAAGGAGGAGGGAAGGACCTTCCAGCTGCTTTCCACTAAGCCCAGTATACCAAGATTTGGGTACAACGGCATGGAAGTTAGGTTAGGACAATTCCATATAGATAAAGCAGAAAGACAAGGAAATGAAGAAGCTGAAGCTGAAGCTGTTTCATTCCTCCACCATCCCTTGAGATTAGGGCAATGACTTAGACGAAGACTCTCTAAGGAGGGAAAGAAGGTCGTCGATGGAGAAGCAGCTGACATCATCTCATCACTGGCAAAGTCTTTAACCATGTCTTCTGATATGTGCTCCAAATTCCTTAACCCGGAAACCTCAAGACTCTTAAGAAAAGGTAAATGATCCAACGGTGGAAGATGTTGGCATCTATCACAGTGAGACAATCTGAGATTAACAATATTTGTGAGAGAATGAAACCAACTCGCAAACCTCCCACCCGGGTACCCGTCCACGACTAACTGTTTTAGACTTGAATGGGGCTGCAGCGCTTCCATTGACTTAATAATTACATCACTCTCCTCCTCAACCGCATCACTATTTTCTCTTTCGATGCTCATCCAATGTAAAGTCAACAAATAGAGATGTCGCTTCTCCTTCAAAACTGCACCATCATAATTCAATTCTAACACCATATCTTGCTCGCAACTCAAATTTCTGATCTCCAACTCTCCTCTTAAATTCTTCAGCTTCCCCAACTCACTGAGACCTGCACTATCCCTCAACATGGAATTATTTTTGCTCAAAACAAATCTACTCAAAGTACGAAGACAAGTCAAATCACCCAATCCAGGAGGAATTTGAGCCAATTTATTACAGCCTTTCAGAATGAGATGCCTCAAGTTGATCAATTTCTTGATATCTCTAGGCAATTCCACAAGAGACTCACATCTTGATAGATCTAGTGTTTCCAAATTTTGAAGTTTGACTATCCAATTTGGAAGTCTCTCAATGGGATTAACACTAAGATCAAGATATCTTAAATGTTTCATTTTCCTAAGACATTTTGGCAATTTTGTAATTCCCAATTTATTCAAACTCAACATACGCAATGACTTAAAATTTGAAGCAATTGTAGCACAAAATGACTTATGGAATGACTTCCCTGAATCCCAGTCTTGGCTCAGGAAAAGAAAAGTCCTTAGCTTATTTGATTCCAGCAAGGATGTTGGTATTTTCCATTGCTTATTTGATTCCAGCAAGGATGTTGGTATCTTCCATTTCGACAAATCAACCTTAAAATCGAAAGATACATGAAGAAGACATTTTGCATCAAAATCAGTCTTATTGCGATCTATTATTGTGCTTCCCTCCCCTGCCACTTTAACAGCAAGTTCATTCATGAGATCATGCATTTTACAGCTTTTTATTATACCAAACTCATCTTTTTCTTCTTCTTGGAAAAAAGATCTCCAAACTAGTTCGTTATAATATTCATAACCAACATCTTCCAAGCACTCATTAGGATTTGAAGACTTAACGAACCCTTGTGCCACCCACAGCTTAATTAAATTCTCTACGGGAATCTCATCATCAGGCGGGAACAAACTACAATAAGCAAAACAATGTTTCAAATGTGATGGGAGAACATCATAACTCAGCTGAAGTGTTGGTAAAATATCATTTTCTTCTTGCCTTAGTGTTGAAAGCTTGTTATTCTTGAATTTCAACCATTTAGTTTCTTGATGTTCGGAGTACAACATCCTTCCTATGGTCCTTATAGCAAGCGGAACCCCCTTACATTTTCTAGCAATCTCCTCCCCAAGGGCCTTAATGGTTGAACTCGTTGGCTCTTTTCCATCTTGGAATGCCATTTTCTTAAACAAATACCAAGACTGCTCTTCACTTAAACCCCTTAAGTTATATGGTTTAGATGTGTCTGTTATTTTTGCAACTTTTTCACTACGAGTGGTTATTAGTATTTTACTACCTCTTGCACCACCCATCAACAAGTCTTTTAAGGCAAGCCATTTTTCACGATTATCATTCCACACATCGTCTAACACAAGGAGGTATCTCTTCCCATCGATCTTCTTCCTAAGCTCATTTTGCAACTGATCCATGTCAAGGTTATCCGCTTTTAGGATATTCTTAACAAGAACATCCAACTGAAATGAATTGGAGACACACGTCCACATTTTAGGCTCAAAATGCTTTTGAACCTCCTCATCTTTGAAGACGAGTTGGGCAAGTGCAGTTTTTCCCATTCCTCCAAATCCCACAATGGAAATGGTGGACACATTCTCTGTATTCTCTGTAGAGATGGGATCCAAATCCAACAAAAGTTGAATAATTGCTCTTTGATCTTCATCTCTCCCTATTATATTATCCTCGCGGACAAATGAGTGGGCGACCCTCTCTTTTATAACAAATTGTGCATCTTCATGGTTCACTTCTAATTGAACAAACATTCTGTTGGAGACAATCACATGCAGCCTCTGGTTGATATTTTTAATCTTATGACCCATCTTCAGCCCAAAAACAAGCTGGTTTGAGCTAGAGAAGAAGATGCGTACCTGCTTTGACACTTTATTATTTCCAGGCACCATTTGTCTCCACTGAGCTTCAGTATAAAACTCATCGAGCACGTCATCAGCTTCATAAACTGCATCTTCTACGCTTTGGAGCCACTCTTTGACTGCTTCATTGTTGGCTTGCTTTTGCTCAGCATCAAGAAGAACAGCTCGGAGTTGGGAAACTACAAGCTTAAGCTTTTGGAGCTCATCGTTGACACCCCAAACCAATCCAATCTCTTCAAAAGCACGGGAGCCTAACCTTTCAATGATCGCTTGTGCAATGTTGAAGAGGACTCCTTCTGCCATTGGAGAAAGGAAAAGAGTATTCACTTGGAGAAAGGAAAAGAGTATTCTTGACGAAAGTTGTGGTTTCTTGATAGAGTTATTTGGTGTGGAACAGCAAGTGGAGCAAGATTATTAATAATTGGACAAAGGAAAGAGGAAACATCCAGCAAATCGGGTGGGAAAGCTTTCAATATTTGGTGTAGAACAGCAAGTGGAGCAAGAGTATTAACAATTGTTCAAAGGAAAGAGGAAACATGCATCAAATCACGTGGGAAAGCTTTGAATATTTGGTTGGAACAGTAGGTGGAGCAAGTTGAAGAAATGTTTGACTCAAATATGCTTTCGGTGGTTTTGACATTCTTTTAAGGATTAATTACAATTTAGTACCCTGTGGTTACACGCTTAAGGCATGTTAGTCCCTGTCTTTTCAATTTTTACAATCACATACCCCGAGCTTGTAAATTTTTTACAATCTGATTCCACAATTAGGGTTTCAGTCTTTTGTCCCGTTAGTTGTTGATGTGGCACTTTGGAACCCACTTTTTCGGTAGTTTTGAAGTCATTCCAAGGGCTTTTTCGCACTTTTATTTTTTTCTCTCCGCCCTCACACCCTCCAACGCCTAAACCAAAAATCACCAGAAAACAAAAAAAATCTTCCACTTGATTTCCTTCATTCGCTGGAGAGGATGATGACACAGAGTTGATTGAGAGAAGGCTACGATGAGTTGGGATCCACGACCACCTGGAGAGGACACCCCAAACCAATCCAATCTCTTCAAAAGCACGGGAGCCTAACCTTTCAATGATCCCTTGTGCAATGTTGAAGAAGACTCCTTCTGCCATTGGCGAAAGGAAAAGAGTATTCACTTGAGAAAGGAAAAGAGTATTCTTGACGAAAGTTGTGGTTTGTTAATAGAGTTATTTGGTGTGGAACAGCAAGTGGAGCAAGATTATTAATAATTGGACAAAGGAAAGAGGAAACGTCCAGCAAATCAGGTGGGAAAGCTTTCATTGACCATTCAGAGGGAGAGAGAGAGAGAGAGATAATGGTCTGAAACACGAAAGTCTGAACGCGTTTACATTTATTTATGAAAAGAAGAGGAAAGCTCTGTCTGTGCGTTTGTGTTGAGTTGAGTTGAGTGTGTGGATTATGTGCTTTACATGGCAGCCATCTACTTTCATATTAATCTCTATTTTTATATTAAATTACTAATACTATACAATATCATGTAATGTAATGGTTTTCATATCAATTATTATCTTCTATAGGCATGCCAATTTTTTATTTTTTATTTTCTAAGCATATCAATTATTATTTATTTATTTAATAGGCTTTTCAAACCAGTTATGTTTAGCATACTTTTACATTATAATTAAGATATCAACTATGACATAATGTGTGCAATTAATATTTTATATAAAGAGAGATAAAAGATAATACAAAGAATATGTTGGAATAATTGCTCTGATTAATGCTCACCTATATTACCGTTGGACCAAGGTTCTCAACTGTACCACTATATTGGAACACTACAACAAAAAAGCGTCACGATTTCCTCGCTAAATATGTACAGCGAGGAAATTGTGTTCGTCACCCGGTTGACGTTGAAGCCCCCTCGTAGAAGCCTGTAGCGAGGAATGCTCACGTTTCCTCGCTGAATCATTTTGCGACGATTTAACTCTGTCCTCGCTGAAACACTATGGCGAGGCATTTTATCATCGCTAAAGGTCATATAATTTCTCGCGATAAGTTATAAACGAGGAAAATATTTTTCCTGTACATCATACAACGAGGAAACTAGTTCGTCGCTAAAGCAACACAATCGTCGGTAATAGTTATAAGTGTATTGCGATGAATACCACAAGTTCGTCGCAGAATAGGTATAGCGCGGGAATAGGTTTCCTCATAGGTTTAACGCTAAAACACCATTGTAGAAGCCTATAGCGAGGAATTCAAGTTTTCCTCGCTACTACATTTTTGCGATGTCTTGAAAGTTTCCTCATTGTAGAGTTATAACGAGGATATCTTATATGTAATTTGTCACTAACGTCAGAATACAAGGAATCGCTTTCTCGCTATAGGGATCTTATAGTGAGGAAATGTGTGTTTTGACGTTGTAAATGATATTGACCTATAATGAGGAAATGTTGGCCTTCCTCCCCATAGCTGTACAATTCATTTTTTTACTCAAAATTCCTAAAACATTTTTTCTTCTTAATAAAAAGTAATAAATAAAAAATGTTATAACAATATCATAATATTAGCCATCATAATTGAAAAGATTTGGCATCATAATTGAAAAAAACATTCAAGTGTAGTGCTAGCCTAAGCTCTTTTTCTCCATGAACTTCTTTCTTTTTTTTTTGCTTCTCTTCAAGGCGTTTCCTCCTCTCCTCCAATACTTGGATAACTCAACATTGATAATCAAGCTCTTGTTGTCACTTACATTTTCGTCAAAGTGTTTGCTCATCTCCTTCAATACTTGATAGAATCCTGCTACAACACATGCATTACATTAACCAAACAATAATTTACACTTTTGTACTTTTGTTGGAGGGAATCTGGTTACTTGGAAGAGTAAGAAGCAAAATGTCATTGCTCGATCTAGTGCCGAAGCCGAGTACAGAGCCATGGCTTCTCTCACTTGCGAATTAATTTGGCTTCGCAGTCTTTTGACTAATTTGGGTTTCACAGATCCTGAACCCATGACCTTGTTTTGTGATAATCAAGCTGCAATCCATATTGCTGCGAATCCTGTCTTTCATGAACGAACGAAGCATATCGAAGTAGATTGTCATTTTGTTCGAGAAAAGGTGCAATCCAATATTATTCGCACAGCCTTTATTCGAAGCAACAAACAATTGGCTGATGTCTTCACTAAAGGGCTCTCCTTAGCTCAATTTGAAAGTCTTTTGTCCAAGCTTGGTTCAATCAATATTCTCGCACCAGCTTGAGGGGGAATGTTGGAATAATTGCTCTGATTAATGCTCACCTATATTACCGTTGGACCAAGGTTGTCAACTGTACCACTATATTGGAATTGGAACAGTCTTCTTGGGACTGCATACTAAGAGAGTTTTGTATATATATGTACTATTTAACATCTTGTAATTCTTATGATGAATAAGAGCAAACAACTCTCTTTCAAGTGGATGTAGGCTATATCAAGTAGCTGAACCACTATAATTCTGTGTGTCTTATTCTCTTTATTTCTCTCTATCTATTTCTTTAGAATATCAACATTTGGTACAGTGATAGTTGTTTCTATTTGATTGGAGTTGGTTTTAGATTCGACTTAAATAGACGAGAGATTGATACCTATTATGGTAAGTTTGATTTGATTGGATTAATACCGGTTAAATTTCCCAAAGGGGGCCAATGGGTTCCCACCACAGTGGTGGTCGATTCCCCCTCCCCTCCCCTCCATGGCACCCAAGATCAAATCCCAGTGGGGTTTCTTTCCTCTAATATAACCCCCAAAAAAAAAAAAAAAATCCCAAAATGGGTATACTAGTTATATTTCTCATCTGATCTCATCCCAACTAAATGGTTTGATGATCAAAACCACTTTATCTTCAAGGCTTCCTTTTTAAGATCATATATGCAAAAAAAATCAACCATATCGAAAATTATTTAGACGTTTTATTGTTATAAAATAAATAGACGAACTTAATATTTTGAATAGACACAAGTTTGACATTAAAAATTAACGATTTTGACTATCATACAAGTTACAACATACCAAAAAGACGAAAAGGAAAAGATAAGGCAGTTAATTTTTTTTTTAAAATAATAAAAACATCATATACAACCTATTTGAAACAAGTTTGAAAGGGAGAGTCACTATTATACCCAATATATAGGAGCCCAAATTATATAAAATAAAATAAAAAAAACCCTATATGAAATGAACTTTAGAAACACACCCAAAGCCCATTTACAACAGAACAAAAAGGCTTTTAACTTCTTTTAAATTACAAAATTGCCATTGATTTCTTAAAACAAACCCAACCCCAAAACCTCATTAAAAAAAACTCAAAACACTCAATAGGGCATCAAAGTAATTTAATAATCAAAATTAAATTCAATAGGGCCGGGTATCATATTTTGGGTTTGTTTATAGAAATTAAACGGTGTAGGGTTTATTTATAGTTTTAGTACTAAGAATGGGTATATAATTAAATATCTCTATAAATTTTTATGGTATGAATTTGAAACTTGGTAGAATTATTATTATTACATATACATATAGGTGGGTAGTTGGGTCAATAAAAGAAACTTAAAAAATTTGAAAAGGACAGAATAGAATAGAATTATTAGGGGAGGGAGGTGGACAATGTTTTATAACTTACACCTCGAGGAGAATGCGTGTCGTGTTGTAGTGAGCCAGCTGTCACAATTAACACAAACAAATAAAATTCAGCAGAGAAAGCCACCGTGTGACTATTTCCCTCTCCGAAACCAACAACAGCCTGGGTTGGTTTATGTCCCTCCCTCCAAAAACTAGACCAATGGGGAGCGAGAGACCTACATATTCTTCAACACAAAATAAAAGGGCAAAAAACAGTACTTTTCCATGCTGGCATCACCTTCCACATGTCAGACAGTGACTCCTCAACTGCCCTGCCACATTGGCTCTTTTTTTAGGCTTTGGTAGGGCCCATGAAATTGCTTAGTCCCAGGTAGATAGATGCCGTGATAGTTGGATTTGGGACCAAGCAATGTATAATGGTGTTAATTAATTCCTCTGTTTTGTAGATGGATTCTTTCTTGAGTGCACGTTCATAGAAAAACAAAATGAAAAATTACTTTTGTAACCAAAAATAAATATATAAAAAAGAAAAGAACTATTATTACTTTGCACTTGCGCCAAAATGCCCAAAACCAATGTGGGTTGTAGGTAGGGACTAGGGAATAGCAAATACTTAATGAAGAAATGCTTCACAATGAAATGATGCATAAAGATTAAAGAAATAGAGACAAAACTAATGTAAAACACAAAAAAGAGACCATTATGTAAACTCATTTAAGCTAAGATCCATTAAGTGTGGAAGTGGAACATCCCAACTAAAAATAAAAAATAAAAATCTTTTAGGTCTAGCT